TTGATTAACTTGATCTCAGGCATCAATGGTAATGAGGGAGCCCTGATGGAATCATAGAAGCTAAATTTGATCTGAGGTAGGACTGAAATTTTATATGCGAACTGAATTCTATGCTAGATGACACGTAAGTAAACTGAACCATACTTGCTTTGCATTCTAACATAAAAACCAAATAAATGTAACTTTAGAGCCTCAAAATGTTTTATTTGATCCACATGAAAACAAAATAGCAATCTGAATAGAGGTTGAACGGCATCAAGCATTAGCTTTTATTGAATAGTTAATTATTCATGATTTCAGCAATACAGCTCTCAGGTTTGTAAGTTAGGATACAAAGATTCCTGGTTGAACTAAGCAGATACGTATAACACACATGCTCTTCCTGGTTGAACTCTTCCTGGTTGAACTCACCAGATACGTACAACACACGCTCGAGCACAATCGCCCGCACACGCTCGCGTACCCGCCCACCAAGGCGCGCACACATCCTTGAAGAAACCCATGTGATAAATACGAAGGGCTAACTTATTCATGTTCCACAACTTAAGAACAGTACTTATGATGAGAACTTTTTCAAATAAGAGCTTATTACTGATCGTGATATTTAGGCCTTTCGACTCCTCTCTTATCGTCCCATCCTCTTACCCATGGCTGGCCTGGATTTGCACGAGTTTCTGGAGCAGCATGGTTCAGATTTTCTGTCACTCTGGATCTAAAGCTACAAACACCTGAATGAACAAATGAAATAATTTTAGCAGAAGATTCGTGAGATAAGCTCGAATTAGAAAAAGAACAAAGAAAATGTAAGCGGTGGGAAGTTATGTTGGATCAAAAACTGACACACAACGGATACACAAACACCTGAGGTTGAAGATGAAGAACAGGGAAAAGTTTCTTACTTCGGAGATAATAACTAATACACAACCAACCACTATTCATAACAAATTACAAGTTTGTTATGATCCGAAAATCAAGCCACAACTACCTAAGACTCGTTCTACTAACACCCAATTCACGGAATTTAAACTAACTACCTAAACTAACTTGAACATACAAATCAGGTTCAACGTGATTAACTCAACATTCACCCCCATAATCATGTTGTACTTGCTTCACATCCTTCAAACCGATCTTCTCTCGCAACTCAACAAACCTTTGTCGACCAAGTGGCTTTGTTAGAACATCGGCCAGTTGATCTTCTGTTCTAACATACTCCACATCAATTTCTTCCTTCTGAACACAGTCACAGATGAAGTGATACTTAGTATCAATGTGCTTGCTTCTGTCGTGATGCACAGGGTTCTTCGTGAGAGCAATGGCTGATTTGTTATCTATATTGAGGATTGCTTTGACAGGTTCACTTCCCTTTATTTCACTCAATAATCATCCAAGCCAAATGCTCTTGCATGCAGCTGCTGTAGCGGCCACGTATTCAACTTCGCATGAGGAGACTGCCACCACTCTCTGCTTCTGTGACAGCCAAGTGACCGGATTTCCACTTCGATCATCAATATCTCCAGCCAGGTCACTGTCGCTGTACCCAATCAAGCATTCTCCCAAATGCTTCTTCCTATCATAGCAGCACCCAAAGTTTAGAGTGTCACGCACATACCTCAATATTTGCTTCACGGCAGTCATGTGAGTTGTCATTGGCGCCTCCATGTATCGGCTCATCACTCCAACTGAGTAGGCTAGGTCAGGTCTTGTGATAACTAAGTATCTCAAACTCTCTATGACACTTATATACAAAAATGAAACAAATGGAGGGCTGGTTTTTACTTTCGTCATCTTCTCCTGGAATGGCAGAGGCTCCGCAACAGGACTTCCTTTACCTTTTGATTTCTTCTTGGATGACGATCTGACCCACTATTTATCTTCAATCAGATCAGGATGAACCTAGAGAATATCACCATTTGGGGCTGTGTGTGGCACAAGTCTTTTCTGGCGTTGTTTGTGAGGATCGTCGTTTACTGTCTTCACCGCTGCATTCATTACAGGCTCGGGTTGAAACCAATTCAGAGGAACAGATCCGAAGCTGATTGACACTGCATTCGCACTCACCTTATTCTCCTTAGATTGTTTCATAGTAATGACTCTAACATCGATCAAAGTTCGGATTTTGTCTTTCAGGGCATAAGAACCGCTCTGTGGAACGCGTAGTACTTCGGATCATTAACCCTATTAGCGTCTTCCTAGTCTTGGATCGGAGGCAACTTGATTTTGTTATTCTCTATGAGGTATTTGAAAATACCAGGGACTTCTACTTCTCAAAAAGAGTAAACCTTCAGGAATTTCGGTTCTGATGTCTTCTGTTTTTGAGGTTGTCGTTGCTACTGCGACTACTGAGACGCCTTTGGCTGCTGCTGTTGTGGTTACGCTTGCAGCTCGAACGTTTGGTTCGCATCCACTGCGTTTACTTGTGCTTTTTCCTTGCCCCGAGGGACAAAATTCTGTTGTGAAGTATTTATCACCGTTTGACCCCTTTCGGCCTTCTTCCTCTTGAGGAAGCGTTCGGCTCATTCTCCTTGCACCTTCAAATCCCTCTAGGTCTTGGATGGTGTCATTCCCACGACTTCGAGAATATCCAACGAGAGGTTATCATGACAAGTTTCAAATATGAAGTCTTCGCCGATCGGATCTCGACAATTCATTGCCTTGTTCCGGAATCGTTTGACAAAGTTCTCAACTAACTCTCAGTCCTTCTGCTTCTCATCGAATAACGTTTTGATTGAAACCTCGGTGTCTTCATCTAAGAAATTTGTGAGAAACATATCTTTCATGTCATCCCATCTGCTGATACTCCCCGGCTTAAGATGGTGATACCAATCGAAGGCTGCTCTGCGAAGAGTGCTAACGAATGACCATACCATTTAAGGCTCATTGCTGGAGATTATTCCCAAATGAGACTTAAAGTATATTAAGTGCTGAGTGGGGGAACCATTTTTTTCAAATGGCGTGAAGTTGATTCCCATTCTCTCGGGTATGGACATGGTATTCTGGACTTCTTTACCTCCTGAGCACTCATCAAGGCGTTGATTTTGCTCTCCAAGTCCCTCATCTTCTTATCTTTGCTAATATCTTGCTTCGACCGATTACGAGGAGAAGTGACATGGTCTTCCTTCATACTGTTGTTGTCTGAGGGTCCACCCTCAGCATTGTTATCAACGGGAGGGATTTTCGTATTGGCGTTCTCGTCCGCATCCCGATCACTGTCAACCTGATTAGTGTTATTACAATGACTGGTGTCACGCCCCGCTTCCCAAAATACCAAGGAACCGAGACGCGAGCAAGCCCGCGACATATTAGATTGAGAAGAATAAATAAAATTAAACATTCTTTCTCAACCTAATACGCTAAGCGTCAAAAAATAAATACAAAGGCACAGATCCCCGATCACAGTAGCGGGAATATAATGAACAACTCAGAATAAAAAAAGAGACATCACCTATAGAATATCACCCGAGACACAAAGTTTGGGTCAAACATGCCCTTATTACAAAACAGTCCAACTAAAATAAGAAAATACATAGTCCAACAAAATAAGAAGGAAGTACTGCAAAAATAACTAAGTCTCTCAAAAGACTAAAGGATAAGGTACTACATAAATAAACTAGTGTCCATCAGTGCCTACGTAAAAGAAAAGGCTAAGCTTCCATCTGTTCTTCTGTTCCACCTGGAAGACACTCCGGCTGGGCATACTCCTGCTCTAATGCATCATCATATTAGACAAGTCCGTCCACTAAATCTGACGTACACCAGAGAAAACAGGTGTACGTCAGCGTGTATGGCACACGGCAAGATCCCACAAGGAAAGTAGAAACGGTCGAATGACCAATGCAAGAACAATAATAATAATAATAGTAATAATCTAAATGAAATCCACCACTAGAATATAATAATCAGAAGAATCCAAAATCGATCGCGTAACGAGGTCATACTACTAGCCATTGTATAACGGGTCACTGGTACATTTCTCACACAGAGTCAACGCTCCTGTCATCGAATACTGACTGTTCACAAATCCTCTATGTGTATCCAATCCCGCTACACATGCGGCCTAGAGGACTACACGCAATCCGTTTATTGCCTGGTCCGAACTTCAAACAGAACCCGAGTGACGAAATAAATTTCCCACTGACCAAAGTGATGTACTCACTTCACTTTAGCATTACAAACTAACCCCAGTGGCAACACCAACCACTGGCGCGAGCCTGGAATATACATCAACAGCCTTATCCGATCACATGAACCATGACTTCCCCATCCCAACTCTCTTGTTTTTTTAAGCTAACATACACACATGTTTCTAAGTCTTAAACAGGACACACCAGGCCATACTAGTCATGAATTTCTAACGGTTCTAAAACATAACAAAGAGTAATAAATGCAACTAATCATATACAACAATATCATAGCGTATCACATAATTAAAATTAAGAAACCTAAATCATGAATAATGCGTAATAATCCCTTTCTTAAATAAATCGTTTAAAATTATTTATAAATGTTCTAAAATAATTCCTTTTATAAAACTCTCTTAAATTATTAAAATTATTCTAAATTGATACTTATTCTAAAATAAATTCTTTTAAATTATTTATAATTATTCTAAAATAATTCTTTTATCAAATAAATTCTATTAATTTATTATAAGTACTTTAAAATGATTTTTCACCAAAATAATTTATTATAATTATTTTAAAATGTTTTTTTGTTAAATAAATTCTTTAAAATTATAAATTATTCTAAAATAATTTTATTTTATTTTATCTTTATAGTATCTATTATCACAATATTATTTTTAGTACTTTTTAATATCATTCGTCAAATAAATCCGTGATTGTCATACGTTATTGTTCACAGTCCATTACGTCCACGACAGTTCTATACGTTATAGTTCTCAGTTCAATATGTTCACGACAGTTCTATATTTGTAACGAATAATTATTCAAAAAATGAATTCTTATGCATAATTAATCTGTGATCAAACTAAAATTGTACTGAGCAAGAATAGGGTTCTTGCCTTGGGTACGTCGTCAACTACAACGGGGGTCATCGGGGCGGTTGCACGGCGTTACGATGGGTTTCGCGGAATCAACGGCTAAAATTACAACTTAGAGTGTTATTACGACGTGTGATATTCAAACGAATATAACTAGGTATAGATAAGGAGCCCAAGTAAAAGGAATATTCCGTGTGATAGACAACACGAAGGGCTACGCACCGGCGAAGACGATGTTGGAAACGGAGACCGGAGGTGGCCGGAAAGCGCGTGCAAAGTCGGCACGAAACTGTCGGGATCTGTGAACTGCTGCCGTCGAGCGATGTTTCGGACGTTACAGAGAGAGATAAAGAGTGAGTTAGAGTGTGATACAAATTGAAGGTGACAACATGTAGGTCTACTCACCAGAGAAAAAATCGATGAAAACGGAGGTCGGAGGTGATCGTAAAGTGCACGCGAAGTTGGCACAAATCTGCAGTTTTCTGCAGTGCAGATTTTCGCCGTTCGGTCGCTGTTCAGGCTCGTTTCTCGCTGGTCGGAGCTTCTCCTTGCTGTTTGGGGTTACCGGATGTGGAAGGAGGTTTCCGGGGTGTCTCAGTGGGCTCCAACAGGGTTCGTCGGCGGCTAAAAGGTGGGGACAGCGGTTGTAAGGGCTGGCGGCATCGACGGGGTTCAGGTCTGAGGGCAGGAGCTCGCTGGTGGTTGGACAGTGGTGTGGCTTTGAGCTCGAGGTGGTGATGGTGATGGGTGAAGTGGAGGATAGGGCAGTCGTCGTGGGACAAGAAGATGAAGAGAGAACGAAGAGAGAGAGAGGGAGAGGGGGTCTGTGATGGGTTGGCTTTGAGGAAGGAGAGAGATGAAGATGAGAGAGGGAGAGAGATGACAGGAAGAGAGACAGCAGTCGGTAGGAGAGCAGCGCCCTCGTGGGCGGCTTGAGTAGTCTGTGCGCGTTTGTCAAAAGTTGTTCGCGGTTTGGTGTTGGTGGAAGAGAAAAAATGAGATGAAGAGAGGAGCTGGGTTTCTTGAGTGAGTTTGAAGAGAGAGAGAGAAAGTACGTGTGTAAGGAGCGAGACAACGTGACGAGGGAGGGATGGTTGCTGGGAATTTGATGAGGAGCAACAAGCTTTGGATTATTTTCAAATGAGTTCACAAAAATTCAAACACTTGCATATAACTACCCTATTCATTTATAACTATAACATTTATTATGATATGTGTATCTATTATTGCATATATACTCTGTGTATTACATCTCAATAAAGAACATTACTGTATATTATGTTTTGCATAGTAAATATCAATAATCAATAATGAATAATCAATTATTAATTTAAAAAGTCTTTACCGTAACAATTAAATTTATAAATTACTAATTTTTTAAATAAATATAAAACCGTATTATTAATTCATAGCAAATTTTAGAAAATCAGGTAAAATAATAATTTAATATTTAAAGTATCAGAAAAATTATTTAAGCCAATATCAAAAATTCATGATCCTTACATTCTACCCCCCTTAAAATAAATTCTGCCCTCGGAATTAAAATAAAAGTAATGCACAAAAACCCAAGGACTCAGATACAGAACTATATCTATATGTAGAGGAGAATGTAAAACAATAATGACGTAAGATAAGATATAAGGGCGATAGCTGAGATTCAGCATTCATATGGATGAAAAATAAATAAATAAATACTCATATGCTAGTATAAAGTGATATCAAGCAATTCAAGATTAATACATAAAAGAACACTTAGTAGTGTATAAAAAATTTATGTCATAATATATGCAACAGTATCACAATCATAAAATATGCTAGTATTTAGTACACACGAGACACAAAAGGTTACAATTATCTTAAAATAAATACATGGAAAATATAAATATATGTATCATAATAACATGAATACATATGTGTAATACACGAATCATTTAAAAAGTACGGAACATATATTAACATGATATTATTGATGTACTATTATAAGACAACACATCAAGGTGTTAAAATGTAATCAATAACACAGAATTGGTAAAATATAACGAATATATAGCATACAAAAATATAATACAAAATATAATTACATAATTCAAAAAAAATTGTCAATCACTAGAATATATGATAAAGTATATCAACTCAATAATATAATTAATTAAAAGAAGACCTTGAAGAAGATAAAAGACAAAATGGTCTCAACAAAATATAAATCACTCATACGTAATGAGATGATAAACATGATAAACACAAAAACATAAAACATGATACGAATAACAGATGAATCATATAAAAGCGGAGATGATAAACATGATAAACACAAAAACATAAAACATGATACGAATAACAGATGAATCATATAAAAGCAAAAGTAAAAGAAATATTTGAAGAAAAAACATAAAACATGATACGAATAACAGATGAATCATATAAAAGCAAAAGTAAAAGAAATATTTGAAGAAAATGTTAAGCAAAACAAAATAACGAAGAATCAAGCATACATATAGTTTAGATAACATAATAGACAACGTATAGAGACATAAAAAAAAATATATGCAACAATTATGTAGCTACATATTCATAACATTGAACAGAAGGACCGTAAAGAAAATATCAATATATAAATATAAAACATGATAATAGTCAATTTATATAAAGGTAAGAAGTACACATCACACATTATCATGGAACAGAAGATATTTATCATATAATCAACATAATCACACCACAAAATAGATAATTCATAGAATATAATAATAACACAGCTACAAAAAACAAACAAAATCACTAAGTCAACATATGACAAGTACCAATAATGAAGAGAAATATGTAAAAATGTGTATAGTAGTTATAAATGTATCAAATAAAATAGTATCAATATTCTAACAAAAAAAAATTTGTAGCCAAAGCAAAATCAATAAAAATATACATATGCTCGAAATCAAATCAAATAAATCAATACAACATATTGTTAAGCATATAAAAATTTGTACTGCGTTACAAAACACAATCATCACCACACAAACATAAACAGATATATATATATATAAAATCAATAATCATGTTAGTTGAAATCATGAACATTATTTGTCAAATTAACAAGGAAGCACATATAATCAAACAAATTAAGATTTACACAATCAATAATAACAAGTATTTACGTAAATCCTATATACGCATAAAATACATCAAGTATATAAATTCAGAATAATAACATAGCGAACAGAGTCACATAAGTCAGTTAGAATACAAGAAATAAATAAATCAAAATTAATTTATTAACAGTTAATAATGTTTGTAAAATCAAAGCAATCGTTTTTAAAATGATTAAATAAGTATAGTAATACACATAAAACACACAATCAATAAAATTATATTAAAAATACAATCACAAAAGAATCCACACACAAACAGATATACACCCCAAGGATAAGAGTAAGAGAAATATAAAATGCAAACAATAGTAAAATCAATAGAAAAATAGTAATATAAAGAACGCATTATAGCAACAAGAAGTATATGCTTAAATATCAAAATAAAAATACATTGCTCTTAGAAATAACGAAAACAATGTGAACATACTAAAATAACTTAACAAGATAAAACTTACTGACAAAACTATATACTGGAAATGTAAAGGATAAGAATATAGTGCATATGTAGAATATTAAATTCATGAACTTATTAAAGTATATTACTAAAAATACAAACAATATATAATAATCTAAAACATAAGTAAATAACAGGTGGTATGACAGATAAGCACACACATACACAATATAAATATGCAAAGTATATTTTAAACATAAGAAAATAATCTGAATATCAGATATGCTATGCAATGTATATGCGGAGTCTATAGCAATGCAAAACACTTAATAACATGGTTTGAACAATTGAAATATATAAGTAATAGTATATATTTTTAATGAAAGACAAACAATATAACACTGTGTATGATACATAAAATAATGTAATAAATAATGCAAAAATCAATACAATCAACGATATATAAGTCAAATCAAAGAAAAACATAAAATAATGTAATAAATAATGCAAAAATCAATACAATCAACGATATATAAGTCAAATCAAAGAAAATATAGTCGTAAAAATAATAACACATAAAAAATCAATACAATCAACGATATATAAGTCAAATCAAAGAAAATATAGTCGTAAAAATAATAACACATATAAAATAATGAACGGCACGAGGAAAGAGAGGTTATACAAAGAGAGGGTAATCGCGAAGCGACGGGACAAGAACCATGGAAAACTCCAGAGTCAAAGGTGATAAGATAGCGACGAAACGAGATCTATCAAGAAAACAGAATAAGGGCTCAAGAATAGTCTCACAGATGAAATATGATATGCATCTAAGTTATCCGTTATATTCTCAAGCGTGGAAACTTGGGACCGTGACCGGAACCGTGACCAGGACTGTGACCTGCATGGGTCACCACTAAAACCTGTCACGTCCCGCTTCCTAAAATACCAAGGAACCGAGATGCGAGCAAGCCCGCGACATATTAGATTTAGGAGAATAAATAAAATTAAACATTCTTCCTCAACCTAATACGCTAAGCGTCAAGAAATAAATGCAAAGGCACAGATTCCCGATCATAGTAGCGGGAATATAATGAACAACTCTGAATAAAAAAATAGACATATCACCAATAGAATATCATCCGAGACACAAAGTTTGGGTCAAACATGCCCTTATTACAAAACAGTCCAACTAAAATAAGAAAATACGTAGTCCAACAAAATAAGAAGGAAGTACTGCAAAAATAACTAAGTCCCTCGAAAGACTAAAGGATAAGGTACTACATAAGTAATCTAGTGTCCATCAGTGCCTACGTAAAAGAAAAGGCTAAGCTTCCATCTGTTCTTCTGTTCTACCTGGAAGACACTCCGGCTGGGCATACTCCTGCTCTAATGCATCATCATACTGGACCTGTCCGTCCTCTAAATCTGACGTACACCAGAGAAAACAGGTGTACGTCAGCGTGTATGGCACACGACAAGATCCCACAAGGAAAGTAGAAACGGTCGAACGAACAATGCAAGAACAATAATAATAATAATAATAATAATAATCAAAATGAAATCCACCACTAGAATATAATAATCAGAAGAATCCAAAATCGATCGGGTAACGAGGTCATACTACTAGCCATTGTATAACAGGTCACTGGTACATATCTCACATAGAGTCAATGCTCCGGTCATCGGATATTGGCTGTTCACAAATCCTTTATGTGTATCCAATCCCGCTACACATGCGTCCTAGAGGACTACACGCAATCCGTTTCCTGCCTAGTCCGAACTTCAAACAGAACCCGGGTGACGAAATAAATTTCCCACTGACCAAAGTCATGTATACACTTCACTTTAGCCCTATAAACCAACCCACAGTGGCGACACCAACCACTGGCGCGAGCCTGGAAGATATATCAACAGCCTTATCCGATCACATGAATCATGACCCCAACTCTTTTGTTTTTCTAAGCTAACATACACACATGTTTCTAAGTTTTAAACAGGACACACTAGGCCACACTAGTCATGAATTTCTAACGATTCTCAAACATAACGAAGAGTAATAAATGCAACTAATCATATACAACAATATCATAGCATATCACA